AAGTTTAAGTTTTGTCATACTATTTCTATGGTACGACCTGTTCTCATGCTCGTCAACGCATGACGTCATAGCATTCGATTTGCATTTTTCCAGTCGTTGAATACAGTAGTTGAAAATGTCCCCTTCTCATCTGAGTCCCCAAAAAGCATACAGGGAACACAAAAAACGCACCCAGTGGAAGGAGAATAAACGAGCCATGATCTATTTTTCGTTTCACCATTTTTTAGCCTTTTTTCAAACAATAATTTTGACAGGAAACAAGTTTTGTCAGAATACTGCCTTTTGGATTTTTGAAAGTCTATATTACTATTTTTATAGACTCCATTGAGGCAGACATAGTCTCTAAGATCATCATTAACGTCCCATAACGCTGGGTCGTTCCGGTCATTGCTTAAATCGACTACAATGCTTACTGTGTCTACTTCCGCTCTTGATTTAACTGAAGCGTGGGCGTGGCCTTTGAGCACGGGATCAACTTCACAGATATCTTCACTTGCCGATGAAACTGATGCCGCTGTAGAATTTACATCTGCTCGCGTAAAAAATTAGGTGATTTTTGGAATTTTCTTATAAGTTTTTCTTCTTTCTCATCTTTTTCCTCACGTTTTTTTTTCTAAATTCCGCACCACTTGGCTTTGGTTTTTGACTCATTTTGCACTAACATTAGACTAGTTACACTCGCTATACCCACTACACAAATAATAATGATTGTAGCAATATAAATACTTTGAGCTGGTGACACGCACAACGAAATACGTCACAACACAATTATTCTCGGTCAGTGACACGGCGACACTGATAAGACGCTAGCTGATTTAATGTGAGAGAGGCCAGTTCGGGTTGTGGTTGTAACAGTGACGCATGCGCCCCTAATCACTCCGAGGAGTAGCGCCGAGTCAGTCCAGCACGGGGGGTGGTGGTGGGTGGTTGGCAGTGGCAGGCAATACGATGCGTACTGTTGGACGTTACACGTTTGAGGTTATCTCTACGGCCAGTTCCCTCGCCGTGTTTGAGATCAATGTCACTGTTATGTGAGTGAAAATTTAAAAACGTACGTTTTCATGTCCCTGGCCTTTTACTTCGTAGATACTGGATTTGTAGTTTATTATTATGTGTTTTTATATTTTTTGGGATGGGGGCAACATGTTACACACATTTATTTAGTTTTAAATAGGTTCTAGGTATTTTTTTCGTATTTTTAAAGTCTCGAAATTCACGACCATGACGTGTCCCTAGGGTACATTTTCCAACTTTCACGCTGTTTTTAGACTAATTATTCATGCCGAAATATATAAAGCCATATTTTTATGTCACCAATGGTTATTAAACTTACAAAAAAGGAGCATATTATAATTTTATTGTCATTGCAAACTGACTACCATGACAAAATAAGTCTGTCCCTCGATTTGGCGTCAAGACCATTTGGGAAAAATTTTCAACTTTGGAGCACGACAGTGGCAAGCCTGGCGTCGATGGAGTCAGTTGGTTTTAGAGACTAGTTCGGGGTGTACGTCAGGATTTTAGTGCCGGTTGTTTCGAGTTGAAAGGAGGAATTACAAGATTAATAAAGGAAAGATTGTGTTTTTTGTAATTTTGGTGTGTCCATGACCGTACGTAGTCATTCGATGAAGTAGACATGGTGTTAATTTTTGTTTATAAGATATTTCAATTGCTAGATTAACCTAGAAGTCCACTTTGTATCCTTGAACATGAGGTGCAGGGCTACCACCAGAACAGAGCCAAATAACACGTAATTTCACGACCAAAGTTTCACGACCATCGCGGGTTTATTCACGACCAATCCAGCTTTATGGATTATAGTGTGTTTGGTCGTGACATTAACTTTAATATAATTGTAAATTGAACAGTTTAGTTCAATTGAAACACATATTCTTATTATAACTAACAGTATAATTGAATGATTGTTTAGAAAGATTTAGATTATTTCAGACAATTCACGACCGTACCGCTTGTCCCTGACCATCACGTTTATGATTTCTATCATAAAAATTTCAAAAATTAAAATATCGTCATATTTCAATGTTTTATACACAAAAGAAGCACACCTATATACAAACACAATGATTTTTCGGGTCTCAGGTAAGTTTTTTCGGAGTTATACAAACTTAAAAAGATTTTATTGGCTTTTTTTCAATTTTTTGAGTTTTTTTATTTTTTTCTAGAAAGACCAAATATACCAAAAGCTCAGTGACCTTTTTATTGTATAATGGTCATAAAAGTAAATTAGTTTATAGCAAAATATAGTTATAAAAATTATATTAACTATTTTTAATACTCATTTAAACGTCCGTTATGGTCGTGACAGGATTTTGTGTTTTTCCACTAAAGATGCTCTTTTTAAAAAAAACTACTAAAGATATTGCGTTACCATGGACATTTTATGAAACTTCAAATGTTAATGAAATAAAAAAACTAATAAAAGTTTTGAAAAAAGGGGAAAAAATGTTGCAAAGTGCTTTTCCTGAAAACGTACGTTTTTAAATTTTCACTCATGTATAACGACTCGTCCGGCAATAATTATTTGTTGAAACAAAATTCAATATCAAAATATTTTAATTTCTTACTCCTACAAAAATTTGTTATCTTTATTTCTATATAAACAAATTTTTAAAAAATTCTCTCGGCCCCCTGAGAGCTTGCGTCCATAGGCCGGACCTATTGGGAAATCCGGCCCTGGCTTTATGTTTGTCAATAGGGTCATGTCAGGTTTCTTAGCTTTACAATAACATTTAAATATATTTTTTGTGTCCATGCCAACTTTTCACATCCATTTATAACACCCAAAATATATGGTAAACTATTTTGAAGAATGACCGATAACTTATGCCGTAAGAGAAATTTTGTTCGTTACATTCGTTGAAGGCAAATGAAAACAAACAAAATAATGTAACAAAAAAAGGTTTATATCAATTCATTCTCCTACACAAAGTTGTTAGTTTATACATATTGCAAGAAATTGGTCTGTTTATTACTACTGTTGGAATTTTTATTTTATTGCAGATTAACTCAGAAACTAATGAAAAATTCATAACATGTGTCAAAAAATGTCATACAAAATCTGTAAACTATCTTACTCATCTTTTCTCATACTAATAACATTTTTCTTGGATTTCCATTTTTTATACCTTGGCAGCTGCCCCCCCCCCCCTGTCCCTCTCTGGGTACGCCCATGTTTTTATGCTCAATGGAGGAAATGAACTACTCAACACAAATACATGCATCAAGTAAGTGCATGCCTCCCAACACAAGTACAGAATTGAAGTACCGGTATTGAAATCAGCCGTTTCTTTCTGCAGTAAGACGAAAATCCTCCCCTACAATAATCTTAACAACTATATTTCAAACATTGCAAAAACACAAAGACTGTAAATAAAGCAAAAGAATATATTATTTTAGAATCTTAAAATTGTGCTATGATTGAGGCAGTTTTTTTTTTAGTTAAAGTTTAGTGTTGTCTTAAAGCTAAATCATTTATTTTTTACTAATTCAAATCATAGCTTAAAGTAAAAAAAAAAAATATCTCACCTTGTATTTAATTGCAATACTTATGTCACTCACTAAACAAGACTGGTCACTTAATGTAGGAACATTGTGTGATTCATAGTACAAGTGAAACCCCAACAGACGATATGCCACATTTATAGTTTTCACTTACGCCGTCCATTTGCCTTTCTAGACTACAACAAAAGTTTTGCGACGACTGTGACAAATTACAAACAATCTACAAATATAATTGAAGACGGATTTATTTAATACAACAATTATTTTTTTATATCTATTTCTGATCAGAGAAAGTCCAGCTTAAATTTTGTATTTAGCAGGTAGCAACAAAAGTTTTCTTTTTCCTTCAAGTTCCGCCCTGGAGCAACTGTGCCAAATTTGCTACTCCACTGGCCACAAAATGCTGGAGTATACAAGAAAATCAATATACTTCAAACAGTGGCATTCTGCTCTCTGAAGAAATCCTACTCTCCTACACATTGACCAAAAATCAGATTTTGCTGTGAGACAACATAACTTAAGCCATAATCTACTTTCTCCGCTAGAATTAAATTTAAAAAATTATAATTAAAATTTGCTGTTCATCTAATAATGCAAAATCTGTACTTTAATTTCATGTTCAAGTTGTTTTTCTAGGCCACTTCATGCAAATCAAATAAGAAGGTTATTTACCTGCAGCCTAATAGTGGTCCTCAAATATCCAACTCCAGGATATTTGAGGACCACTATAGGCAGTCTGCAGGTACTGTAACCTTCTTATTTGATTTGTACTTTAATACTTTTAATTTGAAATGGCTACCATACGACAGTAGGTATTTTTAAGCCAAGTACGAATGGAGATGAGTGTAGGATGAGATCTTTTAGTCTTGTTAGTAACTAAGGCCGACATATTCCTTAGACACAGCTGTTAACTAATAGCCCATACTAATGGCTAATGGCAACTAAGGGACCTACAGTTTATAGTGGAATCCGAACCCCATTGTTGCCTTGTAATTAAGGGAATTGGTCTAATTATCAGGATAGTACTGCAGATAGTTGTAATACTCACTAGTGTGGACGTTAATCCTCACCAGGGAGTATCGCATCCACAGTGTATGCCTATAAATATCCACAATTGATGACCTCCTAGAAGCTGGATTACAGGAAGACGCCACTGTCCCTTCATAACAGTCATAACATTGGTAGATGCAAGCATCGCTGCATTTTTAATTGTCTTGCTCTAACTGAGCTTTTTTTGTTACTACATTCAATTCATATAAATTTTATTTTTATTACTATTGTTATTATCTCAGTACTGTCTTGTTGCAATGTGTAAGCTAATGTGTAAACTAACTAAAAAAGCCTATTATAATCTTGTATTACTCAATGGAGAGTAAACTTCTTGATTCTTTGTGTGTAGTGAGCTTATCCTAGGATAAGATTATTCTTTATAAATTTACGTCCATTCACTCACACTTAAGTTGCATTTACTATTTCAGGTACTTAACGGCCGGAACTACTGTGGCCTCTGCTGGGAGTTATCTGCTGTCCAAGAACACCTTTAAATTCCTTAAAAAATCTTCCTAGACAATATTGCTGTATTTACCTTTTTTTAATTACTTGTCATGAAGTTGTACAGTTCTCTCTATCTTCATTATTTAATAATAAAATTATATTTGAAATATTGTTGTCTTTTACTTGTTATCATGTGAATGTAGCTTTTAATACATTGAATGTATTAAATTAAATAGATTTTAATGTATTGACTCACAATTAGGCCTATTTATAAAATGAGCTTTTCCTATAACCCAGTAGGGTGCACTATATATAGTACTATACAGGGTGCCCCTTAAGTGAACAGCCAAACTTTTGGAAATGGTTCTATGGGTCAAAATGAAAATAGAGATAAAATAAACTAAACTTTTATTCTAAAATCACTTTGTTAACCAGATCCTCCATTTTGTATGTTTTAAAAAAGTAATGTTAACATCACCAGAAATACAATCTGGTCTGTACCAGTAGAGGCCTATGTCTTGCATAGCTTAGGCCTATGATTAGATTTTATCTCAGCAAAGTTAATTAATTAGGGACTCTTCATTTAATAGCACAGAAGGTGTAGTCTCGACTGGTGGCCGTCGGGTCCTGTCAACTGGACTCTGACCCCAAGGTATCCTGTATCATGAGTGTCGGTCTCTGTCTAGTTGTATTAAAATTTCAAATAATTAATTTGATTGAAGTGTACTTTTATCATTGAGTAGGTCCTGAGGGCGGGTTTTTATGGCCTTATAAATTTTGTAATTTTCCAGAGTTGTCATAGTTGTTCCCTTACGGCAGATATGTAACGCTTTTAAATTGTTACTTATATCAGTGTAGTTATGAGTGTTAATTAGCTCTATTCAATAACTACACAAACAACGCTCATCCTAAATTAAAGTTTACCACAGAATTAGAAACAAATAATGAACTTAATTTTCTCAACATCAACCTGAAAAAAGATAATGGCAAGTTCTTGTTTAAAATTTATTGAAAACCCACGACTACAGATACAACGATTCATGCAACGTCTCATCATCCCTTATCACACAAAATGGCTGCTTACAATAGCTTTGTGAATCGCTTGTTAAAAGTGCCCTTATAAAACCAGAAGCTGATCAGGAAGAGAAAAACATACTAAAACACATTAAAATAGACAATGGTTACAGCCCTGCAATTATTGACAATTTAATAAAAAACAGCTTAATAATAAGTCAAAAACAAACAATGTTAACAGGAAAAATTCCGATTATGTCCCAGTTGAATACGGCAGCTCATTTCCTATGTCTCTCAAACATATGAAATAAAAAAACATGGCAAAGTATTTAGGACAAGCAATAAATTAGGGAAAATGTTAAACACTAATAAAAATGTTAAGGAGTTACAAGAAAACCCCAGAATTTATCAAGTTTCATGTAATGACTGTGATAAAATTTACATAGGTCAAACAGGGCGATCTTTTGAAAAAAGGTTTAAAGAACATCTTCCCAGAGCTACTAAGTCACAAAAGTCAAATATCGCAGAACATCTTGTGAACGAAAATCATAATTAAACTAATATAAGTAACAATTTAAAAGCGTTACATATCTGCTGTAAAGGAACAACTACGACAACTCTGGAAAATTACAAAATTTATAAATTCCCCTCAGGCAGGACCTTCTCAATGATAAAAGTACACTTCAATCAAATTTATTATTCAAAACTTTAATACAACTAGACAGAGACCGACACTCATGATACAGGATGCCTTGGGGTCAGAGTCCAGTTGACAGGACCCGACGACCACCAGTCGAGACTCGGCAAGAGAGATCCTTGCATCATATTATGTCCTGTTCGGTGTTTTAATAGTAGGCCTACATGTGTTTAATGTTTGTTTTGTGTATGTGTTTGATTTTAAACTCTGACATGACCATATGTGTCGAAGAATCAAGATTTTAAGTTTCAAGTTCTGGATCTGATGATGGCAATATATTTGTCGAAACGTGTGTAATCCTACTGGATTCACAAAAACCCACAAGGCAGTCTGCAGGTACTGTAACCTTTTATTGATTAATGCTTTTTGAAAGCTGGTTAAAAATTTGGTTTCCCATGTAATGGTAAGACTATTTTTATACAGAGGAGAATGTCTATAGTGTGACAATTAAAATAAGTGTGAGTGGCATGTGGAATAGTTATGGTTAAATGTTAGCTCTAAATCTACTCTGCCTTTTGTTTTCATAATAATACCTATACCAAACATTCAATTCAAAAGGTATACATACAGTAGGTAACATTTGTGATTAGGCCTATAGTTATGTAACATTAGTTTATTTTAAACAATATATTTCAGCACTAACTACATATATACACTATACAATAAAATGCACCCTTCAATTTGTTTTAAAACATTAATAGCCTAATGTTATCATTTACAAACATGTGAGTATATTTTATAAAAAGAGAAATCCCTCTTTTCAAAGATTTCTCCTAGTTCTGTGCCAGCCCTCCAGGGATGTTATACATTTCATAAGCAAACTCTTCTGTGTGCGTAGGGTCGAACTCAAGTCCGATATAATCTATCTCAAGACAAAAAGGCCCTTGGTTCTTATCAGCAATTGTGATTCCCAGACTTGAGATATTATTTAGTGGAACTGGTGTCTGTTTGTCTTGAATTTTACCTTTGCTTGCAAAAAAAAACTTGGAGAACGGAATCTGAAAAACAAGTTTAATAAAAGTTAACAGTTATTACATTAAAATGTTAGGAATTAAAAACTAGATTCAGGAGTAGAAATTTTGAGATTCAGAATATGTAAATAACAAAGGCATGAAGGGAGAACAATAACACTTGTTACAGCATGCATCTGAACCAATTGGGAGAACATTAGCTTGAAAGAAAGGAATCTGGTGAGGTATTGAAGGAGAATAATAGATTTTAAGTGGTGTAAATGAAAATAATGTGGGCAGTGTACAACTTAATTTCATGCATTTTAATATCGATCTATAAGAAAAAAAACTGGAATGTTAGAGGTAATAATTTAAGTTAACCTGAGAGTGTCCGAAACTGGGCAAATACTGTATTTATTTTATAACCTATATTATTTATTTTATTTTATTTGATCAATGAAACAACAAACAATTTATTCTAAAAATACTACAAAACTTTGTTGAAGCTCTATTAAACTTACTAGCAGAGTACCCGTTCCTCGTACGGGGTTGGTGTATAAGTATAAAATGCTTATTGCAGTTATACTCTAGCTTTGCGTTTGCAATGGGGGAGAATAAGGCTTGAGAGAATTTGGTTCTTTTTTTGACTATGAGAGGCCCGTTTTTGACTATGTCAGCGCCCTAGGCACAACTAATAGTAGCGCCCCATTGCAATATATATAACGGGGTGAGCACCGACCGGTAAATCCAGGAATTAAACGTGAATTATTTTGAACCGGGAATTATGCGTGAATTTTGTATTTCTACCTGGAATTGTCAATTTACCGCGATGGCGCATGACAACAGTGACGTTACCGTGACCGAGGGAGACGATAATTTATGTCTCCACAAGGCCGCGAGGGATGATCAGAACTTTGCCGCTTTTGCATGAGACGAAGAAAATGTCTAAACGACCGCGGGATATAATCAAGATTTTACTGCAATCACACGATACAATAATGAGATCTACAGAAAAGCGAAGGATGATCAGAATATTGCCGCGATCGCATGAGACGATGATAATGTCTAAACGACCGCAGGAAAGAGTCAGAATTTTGCCGCGATCTCGGAAGACGATAATGATCTCCACATGACTGTGGGATATTATTAACATTTTGCCGTAATCGCGGGAGACGATTACGATGTCTTCCCGACAGCGGGAGATGATTTCGATGTCTTCCTGACAGCGGGAGACGATTTTGATGTCTTCACGACCGAGGGAGACGATTATGTTGTCTTCACGACCTCGGGAGACGTTTACGATGTCTTCAAGACCATGTCAGACTATTACAATGTCTACAGGATCGCAGGAGTTATAATAATGATGTCTACACGGAATACTGCACAGAAACACTTAAATAGTTAAATATTTACTAAATTATTTTTTTTAGCTCTTTAAAATGGTTTGATGAGAATCTGGAAATTTTTTTGGTTTAGATGGCCAAAAATGAGAAAAACTAATTTCTACCCCATAAAGCCCCGTTCCCATGGTCTGATCATGCTGGTTTGCGAACTCATTCAAGTTTATCTTGCCTTACATCTACAAGTCAAATTTCATCAAAATCGGGCAAAAATTACTCAAGTTATTGCGTTCATGGACGTATATGACGGACGTAGGTGAGTCGGTGGATCATTTGGAAGCGTCACGGACTTCGGGCCCAAGAAAGTGATGCCGTGGGTTCGGATCCTGGTCACTACCACAAACATTTTATCAGTACAGTTCACCTTTGTACTGTACCGGCTCACCTTTTGCTTTGCTGGATACGTTCCACGCACAGATCTGTAAACTATGTGGACAGGCAAATGCAAAGTTAAAGGAGGCCGCCAACCTCTTAAAAAAAAAATTACAAGATAATTGATAAATTTAGTATGCCAGCTGTTTTATTCGAAAGTTATAAGGGATATAAACAATGTTTAATCTAACAAAAAACCACTAAGTGGTAACACTTTCCCCGCCAAGTCAGCAATCCAAAAAAGATAATAAATCATTACTTTTTCCGCCAAGAAAAACAATGCAATGTATGTAAGTTTGGCAACTTGGCGGCAGACTTTTGCTTGGTTTTTTTCATTAAAGTTACGTTCGTGGATAACTTCACAAATCAACTTCTCTAATTAATTAGTCCAACTAAGTACAATAATTTCGAGGTAATCAGTAAATATAAAACCATCACTATTATGATTTTATGAAATGTGGCACAAAAAAGGTCAAAATTTGCAAAATAAGCTCTCACCTAGCAATGTACTAATGGGAGAGATACTTGCTCAATGAAACTAGTTTTATGGTATTTTTTAAAGTGATCGAGCAAAAGTCTGCCGCCAAGTTGCCAAACTTACATACATTACATTGTTTTTCTTGGCAAAAAAAGTAATGATTTATTATCTTTTTTGGATTGCTGACTTGGCGGGGAAAGTGTTACCACTTAGTGGTTTTTTGTTGGATTTTATTTATTTTTGTAGAAAATTATCAGTTAAAATAAAAATCCTCGTTTCTCTGATATAGACCACGGCACAACTACATCTCATTTAATTTCAATAATATTGTTTGTGTAGAACTAAATTCTACATTTTTAGTCTTATCTGCTTTAAACAGATTAAAAACATGTTGACACACGTACCAAAATTTATATTTAACAAACCCCCTGGGCTTAAACTCAGTTTCAAATTTCATCAATGGTCATCTTGAACAACATAAAATGCGTTGGTGTTACATAAGTGTTCTGATAATTAAACCCGTATATCTAAAGACTAGTGTAAATTTAGCCCTTATTAAAGTCTGTCTAAAATAATTGTGCGGTTGGAATTCAACATATGATTTCCCTATTATGGTAAATCTCCCTCTCATTTACCCTTTTCTACACTAAAATACCCGTAACAATCATCTGTTTTATATTGCAGACAGGTTTTTAGGAAGCATTTGTTCATTATGATTGAAATACACACATAATAAAACAAGAAGATTTATTTTAACATAAATAATCTACGTATTAATTTTAATTTCACTAGAAGTTTTGTGGTAATATAGATAATCTTGTGCTAACATTTATGCTTTATGCTTTTGATGGATTGTTTTAAATACAATTTCAGTTCAGGTAATGTAACTATACATTATTAAATTAGTTAATATCGTGGTGAACTGGTTTCACAATTCTAAAGCGATTCTTCACTTCTTATTTAGTTATTATTTTAATACCGTCGACAATGGGAACTTTGTCAAGGTCTCTAGCGGAGCCCTAAGGTCAGATCAGGATGGAAACCATTGGGTTATTCTCTTTATGTCTGAATAATCAGTGTACAACATCAGAGTAGGCCTACTCATGATGAACAACGGAGTCATTTCATTAAACTTGTTCTATTATACCATACATTATTTGCTATAATTTTCTTTTACTGAGGATAAACTAACATAACAAATTGATCATACTATTTGAATAAACGAGATATGTTTAAAGATACACAAAAATTAAACCATTTGTATGAAACAGCTATATTTAAGTTTTTGCATTTTTTCATTGTTTACTAATTGTATAAAAATTTAAATCCCTAATAGTAAAAGCCCAATACACCTGGCTAGCCTGAGTACACACCAAATAGAAAACAAAACTCGTAAAAATACATAAATATAATTTTATTTATAAAACATATATTAAACCACAAAATGAACACAATGATGTAAATTTAACAAAAGTTAGATGTAATGTGAACGTTAACAAAGTACTGGAAACGTTCCATTACATCATTCACTCTCATAACTGGAAAGTAGATGTTCACCATCATCTTCGCTTAGCCACCAGAGTCAGTGTCATCCTGCAAATTTATAATGAATGGTTCCATAATTTCGTCACGCAGTCCTTCTTTAAAAAAATCTTCTTCCTGGATATTTTCTGCATGAATTACGCATTGCTTCCAGTCTTCTACTGTTACATGGTTCATGGCATTTTCAAGAAGGTTCCTGACATCCTTTATTTTAAAAGACGTGTTATTTTGCGCTACCTCCCCTTTCACTTTAGCCCAAATTAGCTCTATGAGATTGTATTGACAATGGTAGGGGGTAGGCGAACAACCTCAAACCCATCTGCAACGCAAGTTCATCCAGTTCGTACTGTGGGGGAAAATCTTGCCTGTGCTGCCGCACGGTGGTAAGGAGTTCTGCTACTGTGTGGACTGGATTGTGTTCAATACCATTATCTGATAGCCACTTCATAATGTCCTGCCTTTCTTTATTTTGAACTTGGAGTTTTGGTCGTTTAGAATGGTAGCTGGCATTATCCATTACAATAATCTTTTGATATATTTTCTATATTACAATCTTCGGAGTCCATATTATGTGCTGCAATGCATTTGTTTCCTTCTCCAGTTAAGTTTTGCACTGTTTTGGATATTTCTAATTAACACTAATCAATTAAACCCAGACTAAATAATATTAAACTGCACAAAATATCATCATAATAATCACAATGTTGTTTACTACTAAAATGTAAACAAAGTGACACATGTTGTAAAATTATGAACAGTATGAATCAGCTGTAGGCTAATATGTGGTGGTGGCAGGGGCCAGGGAGAAAACAGGGGAAAACAAATTTGTCCTTCAACCGCACATTAAATTCAGACAGAGTATAGAGAAGTAAAATGTAATCAAACAGATTAGGTTTGTTAGAAATAGCATAAGGCAAAACAAATATTAAATAACTCATTTATCCTAAATTTACATCTCACTTTTTAATTGCTTGTTTAACATACGTAGAGTGATTTTCCCGATTGTTTTATTTGTTTTAGTGTATCAAAACATAAAACAAACCTTAGTACTAGTACTAAGTTTCAAGTTCTCAGGTTTCATATGTTTTGATAAGTAGTATTAAACTGTTAAAAATGACGAGCTGATGTACCAGTGTACCATCGGTACACTGCAAGTATCGGGGAATATTACTGCTCTAAGTAATTTTATATAGTAAGTAGTTCAAATCATTCAGTATACCTGAAAAAATACTTTATAAAAGTTTTAAAATAATTTT